TCTTTCCCTGCTTATCTGTCAATATTAGGGCTTAATATAGATTTCCTTCATCTTGTACACCACTTGAGCTAAGTTGTTGTCTTTGGTAATGTTCTGATATTTGATATAAAACACACATGTGTACGCTCTAGGGATTAGAAGCATGAAACAGAGCTCACCAGGATTACAGTACCATATACTTCAGCTTTCTCCCAGCACATCATAAGTAGGAGCCAGTCATTTTGTATTCTCCTGTGATTTGGTCATCCAAAACTGCCTCATTCTTTAGTTGGTGCAGTGTTGATCCATAAGCATTCAAGGTCATTTCCTTTGCTGTTTGATCAATCAGACATGGGTTATGCTGTTCCTGATAGAAAGTGCCAGTATTCTTCTGCCCAGTAGCTGTTCCTTAATAATGATTAATGTTTCAGTTGAGACTTTATTATTAGGTTCACCCAAACTTTCTGATCCAGTTTCAGGAGGTTTTAAAAGGGTGTTAAGAGAGTTTTTTTCCTTTGTTTTGTTTCTTTCATTCTAGCTTAGTCTGCCCTTTGCCTGGTGTACACTGCTTCCTGTCCTTTGCTGTTTCCATTTGAGATGCCACTTCCTCCCCTTGCCTTTACTAGTTATGAACTTAGAAGTTTTATTTCTGGTTTCCTTTTCTCTCTCCACCTGATTTTCCTATTGGCTGTCTCATTGCTTCCCTCAGTCCAGAACACAGATAGTTTCTAAATCATGTCATCCAGGGAATAACATTAGGAAATGGAAAATAATAATGCACGGAGAAGTTAACCCCTGAGACACGTGCAGCCAAGTGTTTGTTTTGTGAACCTACAGAGTTTCTTTGAGCCAAGAGAAATGCCAAAAACTTAACAAAACAAACAAAAAAAGTTGACCTTTGGCTGTGTTGCAGAAACTCTACATTGCTGTTAGAAACACGTTGCCAAAAGCATGCTTTCTGCAGCCAATAATAGCTTCGTCTCTAACCACTACCAAAAAAAAGGCTCTGAAAGGTGTGCTGTGGATGACTGTGTTGTCTATAACATGTCATCTTTACTATTCTGTCAGACTTCTCAGTGTACCTTACCAGGTTAGAAACCATCTTAGTAAGAGCCCTGATAAACACAAGTTGAGTGACAGCTAGTTTTGTTCCCAGGATATGGCAGTATCCCTTCTTGAAGCTGCTTTGCTTGCGCAGTTCTTCAGTTACTTTCATAATAGAATAATCCCAAGAAATACTTTTTTTTGCTCTGAGTTACATTTCGCTCTCAGTGACATAAACATTAGTGGTTTTATGCCATTGTGGTACTAAAATCAGCTTTCTGCGATGTACATTCTGTATTTGACACTTGAAGGGTGATTTGCAATGTTTGAATGACAGCTCACAGTGACACTGAAGTTATTGTCTTCGTCTCCATTAATTTCAGGGACCGAGTGGGTGGATCCGGAAGACCCAACAGTCATTGCAGAGACAGAGCTACTAGGGGCTGCAGCATCGATTGAGGCTGCAGCAAAGAAGTTAGAGCAGCTGAAACCAAGAGCCAAGCCAAAGGTGAGCGTCCATCCCCTCTGTTTCTTTGAAGTTGATAAAGCAGAAGGTGCGTATAGCCCATATATTGGTATATGCTTTGATACTGTCCATGATAATGGTATAAACAATCAAACCTTGCATCACTGTCAGTGCCATGAGACACTGCACTGGATGGGACTTACTTACCCCTGAAGGAAGAGGGTAAAAAGATGCTTTTCAGGGAATGAATCAAGCTCCAGCCATGAGCAAGCAAAGCAAGAAAAGCCAAATGTTAGAAATGCTTTTAAGAGTTACAGCATCATTACTGTTGATTATTTGCTTTTCTGTTTCCAATCACGTTTTAGTGATGTGAACAGTCACTCTCACTTGCTTTCCTTTGAAGACGCTTTGTTCTCATCTGTATAGCAGGAGAGAGCAGCAGCAACACAGAAGGGGTTCAAGAGAATGCAAAGACCTTCAGGATTTTCTAAGATTAAAACCATGGCATTTTATGCCATGCTAAAAGAGTAGCTGCCTCAGTATCAAATGAGATATGTGGTATGACCATTTCTATTTAATTTTCCTGAAGGAAAATAAATTACAGTTCATTATGAAAGCAAGTAGTGCTGCATGTTGCCAGTTCATTTCAAATGCGTCTCTGAATATATTAGATAAAATTAAGCCAACTTTTTTCGTGTGTGGTATAGAGGGAGTATGTGAAACTGCTGTTAGTTCTGGTTGTATGCATAGCTCGCAAGACTTGATCACAGAGAATTGCTACTTATTGCCCAGTGTGGAGTAACAGGCGGCATTTAGAAGAAATTAGTGTGTTGCCTAGAATTGCATCTCTTTAAAATTAAAATCATGCTTTAGCTGTATAACTGATTTCAGGGAAGGACTATATGTCTGTCTATTTCCCTGTTTAGGTGCAAAACAGTTTTCTAAGTGAAGCTAATGAGAAGTCTTTCTAAAAGCAGGGGCTCGAGAATGTTCAGTGGTGGATGATTGTTTTTGGTACAGGGTGGTATTTTATCATTGAGGAACATCAGATGAAATAGTTTTTGGTAACTGCTCTTTGAGGACTTCCCAGCCATCCCAATCCTCCCATCCCACTTGGTGCTAGGCATAAATCAGCTCATAACAAGGAAATGCTCTTTGTCTTGCATTTTTTAACAAGGACATCCATTTTGTTTATAAAGAAAAATGGTCCTTTATAATGAAATTCTACAGAGCAGAGGACACAGGCTGAGTACAAGGAAAGGAAGAGTCCTCCATCACCTTTTCTATACAATCACTGCACAATAGCGTATGTGTGTTGCCTGGTAACCATGAAGCAGTTTCTTTCCAACATCTAAGCCACTCCAGGGTCATTGTAATTTAGCAGTGAATGCAGATCTCACACCTGCTCCTCATTTAACATGTTAATTTGAGTGTCCAGTCTCTGATTTATTGGTCTGTTTGTTTGCCATTTTCTGAACTGAAATTCATATCCAGCCATTTGTGTAATTTTGGGTTTAAACAGCCGTAAAGGGTGTAAAACCCTTTCTTAGATGTTTAATCCCTTTCCCAATAACGATTGTAATTCACATGAAAGCTACTAGGAAGATCACAGAGGGGCTCAAATACCACCTTTTCTGCTGGAGACTTGTAGCTCATATCCTCCCAGAGTGGGATTTCCTGCTTCTGAACGGGCTCTGTCTTTGACAACGTACCTAGGGTGGCAGTGTGAACACCTAGACTAGGTAAGGGGGTTGATACAATTGATTTTTCTCACCCTTAGTCTATGAAATGGAGGAATAGGACCTATCTTCTACAGTGGAACAGACCACTGCTGGAGCTAGACCAGTGCTCTGCTTTGGTTAACAGTAATCATCATCAAGTGGACTTGCAGGGAAGCCATTAGTTGGTAATTTTAGAATAATCTGCCTGCAGGAAATCCATCATCTTCATCATTATTAATTGGTGGCTGGTTCTCTATTTTGGGGTAAGCTTCTGTTACTGGGGCAGGGAGTGAGACTCATTTCATTAAGGCTTGGAATTTTCATCTTTGTGTTCCAGTTTGCATACTCTGTTTGCTTTAAATTCTGATCATTTAGCTGCTGGTGAATGTGCTCCTAAAATGCTTAGCCTGCTAGTCCCCTGCCCATTAGTACCCTGTTAACATATGTCTGTCTTTTGAGCTTTTATCTTACAAGCACTTTGAGGACTCTCCTAAGGTCGTGTTATTATTCCCCAAAACACAAAACCTGTTCAGTGCTCTTATTACAGTGTTCGAGGTGGGGAATGTTCTCTAAAACCATGAGATCTTTATTGTTTATAGAGCAAGTTTTGGCTGTTTTATTTCCTTTAAATACAATTCTGTTTTTCCAGAGTATAGACTCTTTTTTTCTGTTTCCCATTTTGGAGGATCAAGTGTCTTGCAATACAACCACATATTCCTCCTGTTATGCAAATATGCCATTGGCTTTAAAATAACACCCCCCCTCCAAATTAGTAGTTTTATAAGAAGAAAACCATTTTTTCCTCATAACAACTTTGTGCTTCACTACTACTGGGAAAAGAACACTTTTAAGGACAAAGGTGTGGTAGGTGAGGTACAACAGCAGAGAGCATTGCTGTACCTACCCTAGTCTGCTGGTATGCCCTTCATGCTTCTGCACAGGCTTATGCCTTCAAACACAAGTGTCTTTAGTAGTCAATAAGAGTTCCCTGCTGTTACCTTTCAGCAGTTTGTCCTTTTTTTTTCCCAAGATGAATCAAACCTGGATGCCTTTTTCTGCAGGACTCTGTGTGATATGTTTGATATATTAGGTTGTTATTTAATCCAACTATATATCAAACATATTCCTACAGTGTCCTGCCCTGTCTCCGGGGGTTTTAACATAGTAGAAGGCAATATAAAGGAGTACATTCACTCACAAGCAGGTTTAGAAGACTTCCTGCAGACTCCTAATCTAATCTGATTTAAAATATATACATGAAGGGCTCCTTTATCAGTGGAGTTGCTCTTGGAGGGGCTTTTAAGCTGTGTAGGGCCTTTTATGACAGTGAGCAGCAGTTGTTCCAAGGACTGACTTTCTCTGAAATGGTTATTGTGTTTTCCATGGCTCAGTGCTGTAACTTACCCATATTGGTTTTCTCTTATGAAACAGAAGATGAGATCTGCTTCAGAATAAAATGGTTCTCCTATTAACCCTGGCTTGATTTATGCTACCCTAATAATGGAGATGCTATAGAAAGCTGGTTAAAATACAGTACAAACCAACTCAAGTGATACATTTTTTTTTATGGTGCAGTCAACATTTTCAGGCTATTTCATGCTACAGTCTATAGCTAGCATAATCATTTTGTTTGTTCTGGTGACTTCATTTTCTGATCCATTTATACCCGTACTTAGTTAATAATAGCTTGTTAGTTTAATCTTGTGGGAAATGAGATGCTGATCTTCATAGGGCTACTTGAGGAAGGAGAAACTTATCACTTGTCTTATTGATCTGGTTTTCTACAAAAACCCAAGTACTCCTCTCAGTTAACTGAAATCCTACAAGGTGAAATTTGCTGCCGTGTATCATATTGTTGTTCCTAACTTTGTTCATGAAGGCTGCGACTTGACACGTGTCGAGGGCACTCGATGAGTGAACTTCAGAAAGTTCAGGAGCACACTCTTTAGTGATGGGAGTGGGTAGAAGGATTACTTCTCTTGTAGGGCGTTTTGCTCACTCTTGGACTGAGCAAACTGTCCTGTTGCTGAGGAATGCTTTTGGGAGAGTACAGGCAGGTAAACATACCCACAGCACTGTCCAAGCATCCTGCCAACTTCTCTGTTTCACTCATGAGGATTCAACCGTTAGATGTTGTACCCAGGAATGCTGACACGAAGACTGTAGGGGAAGACTAGAAAATAGGGACTTGTTAGAAAAGATGGAAACCCAAGAGAAGTTCCACAGCCTGAGTGCTGTGCAAGACTGCTTCCAAAATACATTCTTCAAAGAAGAGATCAACTGTCAATAGAACACACATGCACACGATCCGAAATAAGAGAAATTGTGAGATGACAGGAAACGTGGGATTTGGAAGTTTGAGAAACTCAGGCTGTAGTTTCTTCTCTCCTTGCTCCCAGATTTCAATATAATTGGGAAAAAAATCATTTGGTACACAGGGAACAAAAAGTAACCTGTTTCCTAATGAGATACTGAGGTTTATCTTTTCCTGCTGAGCTTTACCTGCTGCTCCATGGTGGAAGTTAATCCAGCAATTGTACAACAGCATTCTCAGTACTGCAGGATTTGATTTGTCTGCATTCCCTTTGAAAGTAGTCATTTTTGCTTAGCACTTGTGTGCAGTACTTAGTCAGCTCACTCCGCTGAACTGAGTTCTGAAACCAACTTTCCTTCAGCTCTTTTTGGTGGCTGTTCTGTCACAAACGGGGCACATACCTATCTGCCTCACAGATCAGAGCATGGCCATGGGCATTTTGTTAAACTGGACAAAAGAATGGCACCCCCTTTATGATAAGGAAGCAGATACTGAAATGCTCACTCGCTTCAGTTTGAATTTCTGACAGCACTGACCTATAAAGGATGATGCACATCATATATTTTGGTGTGTTGGAAATGAGTATTTAAAAACTCGCAGTAACAGGAGCGCTGGAAAAGTGTAAAAGTGTTGTAACAGTCTGCTAAAAGTAAAAGTGCAGCAACAGTCTGTTAAATGCACTATGGTCCAGTGGTGCTTTTGTTGATATTTCAGTTTTTGTCTTCAGTCAACTTAAATCAAAGGCAACAACACATCTACTTAATAATGAGAAGAAATCTGATAGTGACTATGCTGAATTCTGGTTAGTCACTTTGGAGTTGTGATGTCGTGACTGAAATAAGAGTTTTATAAATAAGACTTGCTGCTCGGTGCATACATTCAGGAGCAGTGTGATTACCACTTAGGTATAATAATGGTTGTGATGTGACATTGCAAGCATTGCCAGTTCATGTGGAACATGACTTGTGCACTTAAAGCAATTTCTTGCGCTCTTTTTACAGACATATGTTTCAGTTGATGAGATTAACCCAATAGCAGAGCAAGACAAATGCTTTTCCTTGAATTAGGTGGGGTTTTCTAAAGGATAAGAAAGTCTTTAAAGTGCCAAACAACTTCACATGCACATGAGTCTTTGTTTTCAGATCACTCAGTTTTTCTGGTGGCTGTGGATGCTGCAGTTTCATCTCCTGCACTTTTAGTTATGTGGCAGTTATGTGAAGTGTGGTAGGACTGAGCACTGCTTCATGTGCCGTTTTGTAACAATTTATAATTACTCATCATTATCTTTTATTATTTTATAATTGACTACTATTTCATCAGATTGCAGTACCAGGAGAACTAAGTCTCACTTAGACTATGATGGATGCACTTAGACCTGCAAATGAAGTGTCCAGCTTTCTGGACACTTGGCTGGTGTTCTTAAAGTTAGTTATTTGACACAAGAATGCTGTGGTTGCATAAGTTGGAATTAACCTGTATTTCAGAAACCTCATCTCTCACAAGGTGGTCTGTTCTGGTATTGTATCCACTAGCCCTACTCATCATACTGCATTGGATTGTGGTAGGACTTGCGATTTGATCACAAACAAATTACATTCTGTTGGTTTATTTTGTATAGAAACCAAACAGAATAAGTGGCCCAGGCCTGGTTCTGTTTGCAGTAACAATAACCATTTGTCTCTATTTGGTTAACTGTTTGAAGCTAGTAAGCATGCTTAAATGGATGAATGTTCTCAGTATTTGTTTAAGTGATTAGGAAGTCGGAGAAGTTGTCTTATGGAGCAACAGATTTGCATTTTAAATAGTAAGAAACCTCAGTAGGAACAGCCAATGTCTCTCGTTGCACATGTTTGTTGAAAGACACATTTGGATGACTGAAGTGTTCCAGACAGACCTTTGGAACTTCCTGTCTCCAAGATGACTAAACTGGACTGCTTCACAATGCTGCTTTCTGTGAAATGGCTGCTCTTACTAAAAGCTGTTACCTCTATGACTTGCTTGCATCTACTTTACATTTCATAGTACAGGTGAATGAGAGACAATATACGTTTCTCGCTGCTCTTTTTTATTGCTTGAAGTCTTGAACTATTTAGAGAATGCTCTACTTACTTGAGCAATCCAGAGAAGTCATTATGATAGCACTACAGGCATAATCTTGATACAGAAACCCAAGAATTTCTTTTCAGACCTGTTCTTTTCTGAACGTAGTTTTAAGTAGCCCTGGTGGAGGTCATGTGTTAGAAAGCTGAAGGTAAATCTTCAAGCATCTTTTGTGATACTCAGTTTCATGTGTGAGCAGCCACAAGGGCAACCTAATACTTAAATTCACTTATGTTGACTCTCAGCTTTAGTCCACAGGAAATTCCTTTGTAGAAAATCATGTTGTGGGTCTTAGTGAATTTGCTGATGTGTTTCAAAATCATCTTGCTTCACTTTGTATGTGTCCTCAATCTTGAAAATGCAAGTGCTTTCAGGTGAATAATGTGTGACATTGTTTTTTCTTGGTTATAGCAAGCAGATGAGACTCTGGATTTTGAAGAACAGATCCTGGAAGCAGCTAAATCCATTGCAGCTGCTACCAGCGCCCTTGTGAAGTCAGCTTCAGCAGCCCAGAGAGAACTGGTGGCACAGGGAAAGGTGGGTAAACAGGACAAGCAGCAGCAGTGGTGAGTGATGGGGAAAGCATCAAAAACGAACCTAGACTCTTAACTCCTCTCTGTTAAAACACTGGGAGAAGACTTGGGGATGTCTAATGAAAATGTCAATATTTTTATTGCTCATCACAATGCATGGCCCAGGCCTGGTTCCATTTACAGAAAACGCAGTTATGTTTATTTAAACCTTGCAAGTATAATCAAGTTACGTTTATTTAATCCTTGCAAGTGTAGTCAAGTGTTTGGCTTTTCAGCTCTTCCTGCTGTGGGGAGATTTTGTGTTTGTGGGTTTGTTTTTTTCATTTTCTGAAGATCTGTCATTCAAGCCAGTGTACAGTCCCACAAGACAGCTTGGGGATCCAAAACCAAATGTCACTGTATACAGTACCACTCTGGACCAGAATAGAAAGGGTCTCACTAATTGTGTCCTGGGTGTTCTGTTGTCTGATTCAGTGAGAACACAGGCCCCTGTGCAAAAGCAGTACATTTAAGTGGATGTGCTTGTTA